AATGAGACAAACAAAAAGGATGTGTGGCTGTATGGCCTATACTTATAGCACACCTCAGAGAAGAGGGTCTGGCTTCTGGTTCCTGCTCCTAAGGTTATTTCTATTTGTAACCAATAATTGCCGAATATAAAATGTAGATAGAGTCGTGGCAGCAAGACTCAGTAGCCAGGAAAGCCAGAACAATAGGCTACTGCATGCTCTCTCTCTTGCTTGCTGCCAAAACTGAAATAAAGTCATATTGAACTTTTTCCAAAGGAATAAATCCTGTTTTTTCTTTTGGTATGAAATCTATTCCAGAACCACTCAGAATCCAGATGATTGTAAGTAATCTAGAAAGCCATCTTCCAGAACCTCTGAGTTATATTTGCATTGGTGGACACAAAAAACCTGAAAATGCATGTATGTTTGGCAAAAAATAGCCCCTTGCTACTGCTTTGTACTTTGCACATTCACTTGCTGCTTTTCATCTGAGCTAAGAGCTGGCTGTGTTTCAGATGTAATATTTTAATTTTACATTTTTGTAAGTCAGTCCTATAAAATGACTTCTAGTAGGAGCAAGAAACAATGTGTCTTTCATTTTCCGTATTTTTGCTGTATTTAAAAAGAGACCACAATGTAAGAACTCCCAAAGCTACAGGGAAAGGGAGAGAATTCCAGGATTATGACATAGTCTGTTTAATAGTATAATTATAATGGTCCCAATTTACAAGAAGCACAAGGATTGTAATTGGAGTTCAGTTTTAGGCTTTGTACATAAGATTTTCACATGGAGGACTGATGAATGTCTTCAGCTTAATCTGATTCCAATCATACTAGTGTCTTTTCCTTTGTATTAGTTTCTCTTACCTGCAGTGTTGTACTGAATATCATGGCAAATCTTGCTGAGAACATCTGTTACTATTCACTACAGAGAAACTCTCATGGGGTTTGCCATTCTCAGTAGATTTGCCTCTTTCATAATTACTTATTTATTGCACAGGTCTAAATTATTCCCAACATGAAAGTATGTCCTTTGAGGGTTTCCTTAACCACAAAATGCAGATAGAATGATAAATAGTGGAACTTTGTTATAACTTGAGGAGTTGCTTTCACAGTGTTTCTTTTCTGTAAGTCTACTGAGTTAAAATTAAAATTAATGCTACATCATGGCTTCCTTTACAACAGCCACTAAAAGACTCCATCTTTAACCATCTTTCCAATACAGATTAACATATTTCTGTCTACACATCATTTTTATACTGGTATAACTGTCTCAGTTGTGATGCCATTAGTTACTGAGGGTATGTACCGAAGTTCCAGCAGCCTGCCAGGGAGGCACTCTAACTATGGTGCCTTACACAAAATGCCATGAGTTAGCAAGCTATTGAACCCAACCGGAGTTTGCCTTTTGGGTGGGGGAGGCTCAGAGCCTGCTTGCACTGGCTGAAGCCAGAGGTGGAGGCACTCCAGCAGCCTCCCAGGAGGCCTCCCCTCAAAACCACAGTAGGAGCAGCCGGACTGGGCCCACAAGGAAGGGAGGCTCCATTTCTACCCCCCACTCTCCACCCAGGTCTGAGTGCAGCAAGCCTCTGCTGCTGTCAAGATACTTGAGCAGGGGGCAGGGGAAAGGGAGACCACCTCCCTCCTCCTACTGCACAAGCCCAGTCCAGCTCCCCCTAACACCCCAGCAGGGGTAGCTGTGCCAGGTCCGCAAGGCAGGGGGGCTCCATTTCCCAACCACCCCCCAGCTTCAGGCACAGCAGTCTCTGCTACTGTCAGGATGCTCGTGCAGGGGGCAGGAGGAAGGGAGGACCCTGTTGCATGGGCCCAGCCCAGCTCCCGGAAAGACTTCAACATGAGTAGCTGGGGCACGCATGATGGAGATGGGATGGGGGAGTCCCTTCCCCCCATGCCTGGCTGTGCAGGGAGGAGACAGGTTTTCAGAGGCTTTGCTGAGCCCTGCAAAGCCACATGGGATGCAGGTTCCCTAAGGCTCTGTGCCCTAGAGCACCCTTGTCTAATACTACATTAGATGAGGGGTTAAATTACCAGCACAGGCACCTGTGAACCAGTATAACAGTTTCAATGCTGCCAGTTAAAGCAGCATACCCATTTAGGCTAGGAGCAGACATTCAAAAAGCCAAAGCATGAATTGACTCAACCTTTGCAGGTTAGTATAACCTGCAGAGAGTTAACCAGTTTGTAACAGAATAGACATGGGGGGACATGCCTGCAGTTGCTCAGGCCAGAAGCCAGGGGTGCTAGAGGGCACCCTCAGCTGCAGGGAAGCTGTGCTGGGGGTGGCATGGCCAGTTTTGGCTGAACTGGCCAGAGTGGGGTTTAATTCCTTCCTCCCTGTCTGACCAGCAGGAACCAGAGCCAGGTCTGCCCGTTGCTCCCCCCTCCTGCTGCAGTACTGGGCACCATGGCTCCTGAGGCAGAGGGGGCAGGGAGGGAGGTTAGCCTCCCCTTTACCACTTCTGGCAGCTGGGTCTGCCCTCCCCTGTCACTGCTGCGCTCACTCCCTGTGGTGGAATAGGCCCCTGCTGTCCCCTTTGTGGAACAACAGAGGGAGGGATAATAACCTCATTCCTGCCCCCACCAAGGGGCCCTACAGGCTGGCTGTGCCCCTGATGGGCCACTGCAGTGGGAGGGGGCAGGGCCCTTGGTGGGGACAGCAGTCCGTCATAATGTCTGGCAGTGCAAGCCCCTTCCTGGCCAGAGCCCTGTCCCATCACGGTTGCTCCACCCTTGCCACTCCAGTGGCTAGGCAGGGGCACGGCCAGACACCACGGGCTGGTCAGATCTGGCCTGCAGAGGGGCTTTGTCTGGCCCCAGCAGGTCCCTCAGTCCCATCAGGCCAAGGTGCCACTCCCTGGGCGTGCAGCAAGGCTGGGGCTGCTCTGTGGTGGGACTGCCTTTCTCAGCAGCCCAGCCACAGCAGCTCCTTTGCTGCTGCCACTGGTCCGAGCCCCATGGTACAGGCAGGGACCAATGCACGCAGCCCCAACCCCGCACACCCCATGCCAGGTCTAGGTTCACCCATCCAAGCTGAGCAGCAGAGGTGGGAGAGAAACTGCTACTCAGTGGAGGGGGAAAGCAGCTCCTCCCTGTCCCTCTCCCAGTGCTTCCAGGTGCATCCACCCAGAGCCTGTGCGGGGCTGCCCTGTGTATCCTCTGTGTCACCACCACTTCTGGGCTGCCCCATGGGACAGGCAGTGGCAGCAGAGCAGACACAGGGCAGCAGTGCTGGCTCCAGGTAGCTGCAGCAGGAAGCACTAGCAGCTGGAGAGGGAGGGGTCCCTTTTGCCCCACGCCCATGCCAGGCTTGCCCATCTGGGCTGAGCAGCAGTGATGGGGAGAGAAACTGCTGCTCAGCACAGGGCAAAAGCAGCCCCTCCCCTTCCCACCGCTGGCACTTCCTGCTGCAGCCGAGTTTGTGAAGGGTGTGGCTGTGTGTGGGGGGGGCATAGGGTATTTGGGGGGTTGTGTATATGTGGGGGGTTGTGGGAGCAGTGTGTGGGTGTACGGCATTTGTGGCTTCTGAAGGAGGGTGGGGGGTGTGGGGACTCCCCCAACACTCCCCCCCATGGTGCAGCAGCAGGTAGAGGTGCTTAGGGTGATTTTGCCTGGCACAGGCACTGGTGTCGGGCATTGCACAGCTCCAGCCAGTGCTGCACATCACAGTGAGAAGCACAGCCCCTGCCAGGCTGTTTCTTTCTTTGGTGCTCCCTGTCATGCACATGGAGCCCCCACACTCATGCAGTGCCAGAGAGAAGCCCCCTATGCTGGAGCTGGCTGCCTTTGCTGCTCTCTGCCGTGCAAGGAGCAGAGAAGGCAGCCAGCTCTAGTGAATGGGGTTTCCCTCCCCTGCTGCGTAAGTGTGGGGGCTGCGCTTGGTTGGCGTGGAGCACTGGCCAGAGCTGCTTGCTGCTGGGCATGAGCACCCCCACCTGCTGCTGCTGCTGCTGCTGCCTGCCAGGGCTGCACACCATGGGAGGAGTGTGGGAGGGGAGTCCCCACACCCCCCACCCTCCCTCACCCACACTCTGCCCACCTGAGGCCCACACTGCTGCGCACCCCCTGGGTGCAGGCTCCACACTGCCGCCAGCCCCATGCTCTGTGCTCCCACCCAGCTGCAGCTCTGCCCCCACCATCACTGCTTCCCTACTTGCTGTCTAGAGCGAGCAGGATGCTGGGGAAGCCAAGCAGGTCCCCAGCAGTTGCAGCAGTGGTGGCAGCAGCCCCACCCAAAAGCTGGCTGTTGGCCAGGTCAGGCCCTTCCACCCGCAAGAGGCTCAATAGGGTATGTTGGGGGCTTGTGTATATGTGGGTGCCTCACTCCCACCCTCATAGGTGGGAGGGCTGAGCAGGGTACAATTAATTGGTGGGGGCCATGGGCCGGATGAAAGAGCTCGGTGGGCTGGATGTGGCCCGTGGGCCATATTTTGCGCACCCCGAGTTAAAATACGGCTTTTGTCTGTGAACACAGCACAGTTCCGTTCGGATTGCTTGGCAGCCACATACAGATGAAGCTTAGAAGTATTGTTCCTGACAAAATATGTAATATTTGTCTGTCTACCTACCTCCCTCCCTAGTGTTTGGTCACCAAATTCCCTCAAGATCCTTAATTAACCATCTGTCTACCCACTAGCAGGTAAAAGCACAAGATCTGTGAGTGTATGAGAGAATGCGACTCTTCTGGTTTTTATAGTTTTTATAGCTAATGAGTTAGCTTAGAGAGTTAGGCCTTTACTATTTCCCAGGTAAATGTTATTGATCAGACTCTGTATAATGACTACAGTTAAGAGCCTGAAAGTATCAGACTGGCTCTGCTCGGTGGAGGGCCTCTGGATTTACATAAGGGTGAACAATAATAAATTTGGCCTAACATGCCAAAGCAGTGAGGTTTACATATTGAGGCAATCCTTAAGAACAATTTGATTTTAAAGGCTTTGTAAATGGTCCAAATAATTATGCTTAAAAAAACCCAACCCTCTTTCTTTTCTTTGCATTTCCAGCTGCCACATTTATGGAACACTGGAAGAGAAGACAGATGCGTCTCAACTATAGATGGGATCTGACTGGGTTTGAAGAGGAGGAGGTTAGTTTTAAAGTCATTTTGAACTGATGTCATTTTATGATTTTGTTTAGTTTCCATAATTAGATCTAAGTGATTCCTTGCTTCAAGCTGCTAGATACCACTAGATGGAATACTGAGAGAGATTTTTGCAGTACTTCTTTGATCCAAAAGAAGAAAATCCTTGTTGTGAACATTTTTTGAGTTTATTATACAAGTGTATTACTAGGACATATTGTTTCCATAGAAATATAAGTGTATAGCCACAAAACAATGTTACTAAGTCACACTTACTTGAGCAGACATGGAATATATAGCTCATATGTGTAGCTGGCTCTAAAAAGAGCGCTAAAAGCTAAGACACTCGTTCTTCTCGCATTAAATTGCTATGAATGAGGAATGACTCTACCAAAGCTGATGAAGTTATATTATCATAAAAACCACCAAAACTTCCATTAACTTTAATGATGCAGGATCAAGCCCTAATTTGGCAAATCTTTTGGAAAATATTGCTTAAATGTATGGAACACTTCACAGGAATAGTGGAATGCAAATGTGGGGGTAATGTTTGCTACATGTGCCAGAAACTTTTAGGCAGGCTTTATAATAAACATGTTTGAGAGTGGAAGGATTGAGAAATTCAAGCAAAAGATTGCTAAATTTATATTCAAATGAATATGTATATGCAGCTATGAGAATGGGTAGGGGAGGAAACTTCATCCATTAGAACTGATTTTCTTCTTCTTCTTCTTCTTCTTCTTTTTTTTAACATTCTGACATTATCACAAGGGATCCTGGTTTCCTCTGCTTAAAAATTGCAAATTCTGTGATAAAAAACGCAAATTCTCTGATTAAAACCCCCAAAATCCGTGATTAAAATGAAACAGCATTTCATGGGTGGGCAGGGGGCAACTCACCATGGTGGTGTGAGACTTGCAGTGTCAAGAAGCTCCCCTGCCCCTCCCTGCTCTGCCCTGCTGCACTGGGTCCCACCCACTGTGCTGTAGAGGCCCTGGAGGGGAAGGCAGCAGGGTGGAGAGCCCAAGCCCTCAGCAGGCAGCCCTCTCTGCCCTTGCCACGCACACATCTGAGGGGCACATGCTCCCCCCATGCACCACTGGGAGTGCTCATAATGCTGGGGAGCCAGGCCCACCCCCAGATGAGCTCCCCATGGCTCTCTCTGTCTCCCTGCCAGGGCCTTGTGGCCACGCATCCCAACCCCAGGCCCCATGCACAGCAGCAGCCCTAGCCATGCTCAGCTCCCTCCATCCCTCCCTATGGGGGCCTCAATCCCCACTCCTCCCCACCAGACTTACCTGTGGGAGCTGCTCTCCAGGCTGCCTGGAAGACGTGCATGTGTGAGCGCACACATGCACATGGCGACCTCTGCCTGATTGCCCTCCTTCCACTCCCCCCCAGCCCCTTGCAGGCTGGAACTCTGCCAGCCTACAGAGAGCTCTTTGCAAAACTGGAAAATTTACAGGTTTTTCCGTTAAAACAAAAAATCCACATTTTTCTCGGTTAAAAGGGAATATCTGCTGTTTTTGCCAGTTTTCTGCAGGAAACGAAAAACTCAGATCCCTGATTATCACTAAGGGCCCGATTGAGAGTCTAGTGAAGACAGTGATGCTCTTACCACTGACTTCAACAAGCTTGAGATCGGACTTAGCTGTGCAATTCATTTGTGCCATTCCATAACATTTTAAAAGCCCCACTAGCTTCCATAAAATCTAGACCCTTTATCCTTGGTCAGAAATGTATTTCTTAGTTTTGTGTTTTTGGGCACTGTATTAAAATTATGGCTGCCCATGAAATCTGGATATACTTGAAACATATGCAACAAACTTGCATTCATTAAATTATGTGAACATGTTTTCCATAGACCTTCTATTAAATCATGTGTCATATTACCTGTTAGGCTGGATATAATTATTGTATACTCACTTTCTTTTATTAATTGAATTCTTCATAGAAACTTTGGTTTCTAAGGGTGTTGTTACATGTTACAGTTCACGCATGCTAACTCTAACAAATGTTAGGCTGTCTTAAAATTAGTATGTGCTGTGAGCAGTCACACGTTAAGGGTTAATACCTTCTCTAATCTGCATAGCTCTATTTGTGGTGAGAGACATGGTAAGCAGGGGTATGGCTAGGAGCTGCCAAGTCTGCCCCATAGCTGTGCAGCTCTCCAGTGGGTCCCTGCTCACCTGCCACCTCCCTCCTCCTGCAGTTCCCCAGCAAGCTCCCCACTCATCAACCCCCACTGACCATCTACACCATGTCTCCCTAGTCATTAACAGCTACTCAGCTCTCCCTGGCGCTCTCAGTCCAGGACAATAGTGTTCTGGTTAATAGATTGTCCACATGGGGTTGGTGGGGTTTGGAGGGGTGCATCCTTGGATACTGGAGGACCATAAATTGCTGGCATTTGCCCCGTGGAGCACATTGACTTCACTGCAACATGAGCTGCCTAACACCAGCTAGAGATAATCCTTGCCCAAAGATGCATAACTTTGAGGTGCTCACAGAACACTTAGCTTTTTCCTTCTTTAATGTGCAGACACTCCTATCTCAAGAACATTTAACGTGTTGGAAAGGTATTGTCTAACCACACCCTAAGACCACAGTCCTATTAGGTGCAAGCAGTCTGTACCCATACCATTTGCAGGATCAGCACCTATCATATTGGATGAGAATATGAGGATATCTTTGCTAGAAACCATGAGGCAACTGCTCTTTTATTTTTGGTATCTTATTAGCACACATGACAGTGAAAAGGATTAACTGTATCTTTCCAATGGCTGTTCCATTCATAGCTGCATTCAGAGTTCTCTGCAGCAAGAGCAATGTGTGACCAGAGAAAGCAGCTGCTAATACAGTGTATTTTTCTTTTCCTTCAATGCACTCAACTCTAGTAAACACAGCCCTCAGTTCAATAAAGCATTCAAGCATCCACTTAAGAAAAGCCAATGGAAAATATGCAGGTGGCTAAGCATTTTGCTGAATTAGGGTCACAAGTGGCAAGCAAAAATACTGAAATATCTAAGCTGGTGGTGTTTTTGGGGGACATTTATTTAGTAAACTCAGTAAGGTTTATTTATACAGGAGATATTCAGTACTATTAGTACATCTTCAGTGTGAACACAGGAGCAGACTGCTTTCACCTGATTATGTCTAGTGAATCCACAGTACCTACTATTTACTTTTGTGTGATTCTTGAAAACAAATATGAAGCCAGTATAATTTGCAACAGTTAAGTAATCATATTTTTGTTTTGTTTTGTTTTTTGTTTTGTTTTGTTTTCTGGTTCCCTGAAGGAGGCAGTCAAGGTTTGGAAATATTTTTTTTGTAATTGTTCTACCTTTTTTATTACCTATCAACTGGTGAAAGGTATCTTTTGGTGTCACCTATTTCTTTTTTTTCCAGCATCTGATTTCCTTTAGAACTACCACTACAATGATTCTTTCTTGCTTTTTTCCCATTAGTTGGAACTTTTTTTTTTAATGCATTCTGTTTTCCATCCAGTACGTTGTTGCGTGTACTTTCTGAATCTTTTGGCTGTCTCTCTGTATTTCTGATTATTTCCTACATCTCCTCTTTTAAGTGTATGTGGCTAGTCTGATATGCAATATCTTTTTCACTGAAAATATACTTTCCTATGGCTGTTGCCACAATTCATTCATGTTTGTGAGTGTCCAAACTTAATCTGTCTGAGACTTTCATTGTCAACTCGCTAAGACCTCAAGTGCTACACACGTTTAACCTAAATTATAACAGATAATAGCTGCCCTCCGTTAGGTGAGACTCACAGAGATTATTACAGTTAACAGCATGTAAAGTCTCTTTTTTATCCGTATAAGATGATCCTTTCAATCCAGATAAAACATCACATACTGTGAACAGTAGTCTCTCACTATAGACTTCTGTGAGTTATGTTTGACCTACATGGGGCTACATTTGCCATCTTTGAAAAGCTCTGTAAACCTTTTTGGCTCTGCTCAACCTTCCTTCCATAGCACAGAATTGAGAAGAATGCAAACTTTAAAGGTTTTAGTTACAACAGGCAATCATCTGACAATGATATGTCCAGTAAATTAGAATCCAAAAATAACAACTGGAAGTAAGAAGGACATTGATTAGCATTTTTCACACAAATCTGAAGTAGGAAATCAATATCATTGCTTGCAATTAAGTATGAGTTATTTCACAGGATCATCCAAGAGCAGAATATGAAGCAAAAGTATTAGAAAAATCACTGAGGAAAGAATACAGACATAAAGAGGTATGGTAACTATATGAATTTATTTAACCAGGTAAAATCCTTTGAAACCTAATCTATTTCCAGTGGTGGGCTGACCAAGATTTTGGAAAAAACAAAAAAAAATAAAACAAAACAGAAAAAAATATAATGCTTTCACATTTAAGTTTCCGAATACTTCTGAACCCATGAATTATGTATGTCAGTGTGTACACTTCATGCATGTTAGATCTGTGCAAGTACAGAACTGTGTTCAATATTTAGATAAAGTTGAATGACAGGTGAATAACTCTATTAAAATACAAATTTGAATTAGGCTGTTAGGTAACTTTTAAGAAATCTTAAGGGAATCTTGAGTCTTGTGGTATTATAGGTAATTAAAATGTCTCAATAATCCTTTCTCTCCCCCTGAGCTATCATCATGACAACATGCTAATCATTTGGGCCAAACTGTGAGGTGCTTTATACATTCCAATCAGTGTCTGGCTGAATAAGGACTGAGCAAAACTGAACAGTAATTCATGCCTTCCTGCAGATTTTCCTGCATGAGAGGAATCTAAAAGAGAAAAATTCTTTGAGAGACCTTCTTGGAGTTTCCTCCCTGCTTTTTCAGTGGGAGTAAAGATTTCTCTCCTGGCACCACAGATGAGTTGGAATGCACTATTAAATGCCTCTAAAAGGCAAATATTCAGCCATTGGATTGGAATCTGGCTTTCTAGGCTTAGATCTTAAGACATTTGTGGCTATTAAATATCCCATTGCACTTTTATTGTTACTAGGATAATAATTAATATTAATAATACTAACTCCAAATTCTTTGGCAGATTCCAGCTTCAGTAAAACTTTCTGCCTTTTTCAATATATTCCCCTTGCAATAAGGTATCCCTCACTTCTGATCCTAACTTATTTTGTGTTGTTTTGACAAATCTGTATGTCACCCCAGAGGTAGCTACATTTTAAGGATGAATGATTCAATTCTTTTGAGTCGTTTTTACAGAAAATCAGCATCAGTTTAGAGTTCAAGACATGTTGGGATCCATCAAAATAAAAGAAACTATGTAAATATAAGATATATTAGTAACATATGCCATGCATGCCATATAGACACCCAAGTAACAAGCACCTTAATAAAATAGTTTAAAATTAGATTACATTTTCTGTTTAATTTTCTCAGGTACATATATTTAGGTGTGCCTTGACTATTCTTAAAGGTTGATACTCAGCTGGTTTTGATGCATTCTAAGTAGGCTATAACATAAACTGTTTAAACTTAGCCTCTTTAATATTAAACAAGCAAACAAATAAAAAACATTTTAGTGTGGAATACCTTACTTGCAACATTGTTTAAACTACCTCTGCAAAAGAAAAAGAATTTGGGCTTCTGCCCTTTTCATGATGAATAAGTAAGGCCTGAAAAGTAGGTTTTTGTCTTTCCCAAGAAAAATGTAGAGGGCTTTCTACTCTCTTTTACTCAAAAAATTCAAGTCTCATTTAGACCAAATGACTTGTACCAGTAGTGAGTGAAGACATCTAAGTTACCAGAAAAGTGAAAGCTAAGCAGTCAAGAGCAAAAGAATCATTTAGTGATGCTGTTTAAAACTTTAGTTTGAGCATGCTTTGGACAATACCATTTTGATCTTAAACAAAAATGGTATGGGAGAAAAAAGTCCTTCAAATAAGGCTCAACTTTTCAATACTGGGAGTTGGACATATTACTCTTACAAAGAATTAAGTAGGACACTTGAAAACTTGAACCTAAAGTTTGGCTCACAGTAACATTCCTCACAGCTTAGAGGTCCTTCAGGAAAACTATGTAAAACTATGAGAACAGAAACTAAGACAAAAAACTAAGGCAAAAATAAAATAAGCTTTTAAAAGAAAAGCTTTTCAGGCTTTCTTTATACATCATAAAGAGATAAGGAGGGCACATAACTATTTTTTAGATGTCCTTTACAGATCGCCTTTAAAAGTGAAATTTCTTCTAATTCTGGGGAGTTGTTTTGTTTTGTTTTGGTTTTTTTTGGGGGGGGGTTCCTTAATTAATCTGAAGCTGGAACACAAAGCATTGAACAAACTAATGGAGCGCTTATTGCTAACTTGCAGTGGGTAAGAGAGTCTGCGGATTAATTTAATGTTGTTAATCAGTGCTTTGTAATGTATTGCACGGTCCTTCTTTTGTTTCCTTTGATTGCCATCAGAAGCGTCGACATTTGCCAGAAGAGACAACAAACAAATGGAGACAAAGAGTTAAGACAGTCATGGCTGGGGTGAAATTGGTACATTTCATTCAAATTTATGGAAAAAACCCTCAAATTTTGAGTAATTATGGAAGACACAAATTAATTGTTTTTTAAAATAAACTTTGGCTGTTGAACCTTTGTTTAATATTCACGTTCTGCTGTTCTTTTTGTTCTTGTTCAAGACTCTGATAGAGACTGTATTTGTGGGTATATACAGGCATCTGGGGAGGCTTGGGGGAGGTTAGATCATGTTAAAAATGGCGACCCAATCTAACTTAGTTCACCATGGTGCAGACCCTTATACTTAGATTGCTAGTTAAGATGCTCTAAGTGCATACTATATAGAAGTTCAGGAAGACAGACTGATCTAACAATGGCCAACCTAATCTAAGTTAAGTCTACCTCTGAGGTAATCTAATTTAGATTGGGTCTGGTGAGACCAATGTAACTGAACTTCTGCACAGTTCGCAACACAGCCCCGGAGATGGGAAAGCCCAGCTGCTGGCTGCAGCTCTGGGGCTGCACTTTTCATACCCACCTCATCCCCTTGCTCCACCCCCAGATGGACAACCCCTCCTTGCTGCAGACCACCCAGCCTCCCTGTGCCCACCAAACCCCTCATCCCACAAGGCATTTCCAGTACTGGTTTAACCAGTGTTCACTAGAGCCAGGAGCCAGGAAAGTAAGTTGGGATGGGGGAGGGGTGGGTTGTTCATCTGGAGGTAGAAGATCAGGGGGGCTAAATATAACCTCTGGTTCCAGGGTAGGGGAGAGAGTCCCTCAAACCCCGCTCCACAGACCCCACTAGCCCATCTAGTCCTGCCAAACCCTCGCACATACCCCTGGACTCTGCTTGCCCGCAATCCTCCTACAGACCCTGCTTCCCCTCTGATCCCCCAAAGCCCCTCCACAGACACTTCTGGCCCCCCAAAATCCCCCTGATTCTCCCAGGACCCTCCACAGACCCTGCTTAACTCCCAGTACCCAGCATGGACTCTGCTCCAGCCTGCCCACCCCACCCCACCCCACCCCACCCCACTAGGCCCTTCTTCCCAATTTACCTTGGATCAGGTAGCCATTTTTTACTTGATCTAACCTTCCCCATAACCTCCCAAATGTCAGTAGGTTTGTAAGTAGTGGGAATGGCACTGCATGGCTAATCTTTGCATTACCATGTTGGATGGATGTTGCATTGTTGTAATGGAGCATGTGCCATGTGCCTGACCAAGTAGCCTGCTGTTCTGTCAGACATCATGCATGAAATGTGTCGTTTTGTACCAAATTTCAATTTCTTATTCAGTGTGGCATCATCTTCTCTATTTAACCTTGACAGTTCTATCCTCCATCTGTAATCTGACTTCATTTGTGACATTCTAAATGAGATTTTTATTCCCAAATTGTTTGAAAGAAATCAGTAGATAGTTGTTCAGATAATAGAGTGTTATCCTGGCAAGAGTTAAGGATATAAGTAACTGAACTCTTGAATAGTCCTATTGATGCCAATAGGAATATTCATGTATATAAAATGATCCTGAAGCTGCTTGCTCATGTAAGTAATCCACGTTTTAGTGAGACTACTTATATGAATAAGTATTACTTGTGAAGTAAGGCTTGCAGAAACAATTCTAATGGTGCCTGCCTTCTTGCAAATATATCAGCATACAAAGTTTTTTAATCTTTTCTGAGAGAGGATAATAAAATATTTCTTACACTAGAAAAATAATGTGAAAAGTTTATCCATGTGTTTCTTTAAAATAAGTCTTTAATAAAAATTATTTATCTTTATAATACCCATAATGCAAGCACTAGTGTAAAGCTAAATGTAATGTAAATAGTTTACATGTATAAAACTAACTCACGGGTAGGCAGCCCCTGGTACAAGTGTCAGAGCATGGCACTCAAGGGCATTTTGCCTGACACGCACTTAGAGTGGATGGCGGGGAAGGGGGCTAGGGCTGCACTGCCACACCAAGGATCAGGCCCCTTGTGGCTCCCCCTTTGTCCGTTCCTGGTACGCAAACATCTTATGAGTCAAGGTTGCAGTTGTTTTTGGCACTCTGCCCAAAAATGTTGCAGACCCCCCTGCTGTAACTTTAAACACTGTTTCTTTGCACCTTTTAACTTGTTGTGTCTGTATGATTTGTTTCTTGTGCATTGATGTTTTTTGTTAAAAGCCCAGCAGGAGAGAGTTTTTTTAGATGCTCTGTATCTTTAATAAACTACAGGGTTTTTTCATATTTTAGACTGATAAAGAGAAACTGACATGGAAAGATCGTTTTCCAGCATATTTTACCAACTTCGTTGGCATTATCTTCATGGTAAGTATTATATGGTAGATACTTAAGATTCACATTATTGAGTCATCTGAAGCAGAATTAAAACAAACACCAGTGAAATAATTACAGTCACTTTAAAAGATATATTTTACAACAGACTTCTTTTTTTCTAGAAAAGGAAAACTGTTTATTCACTTTAAGTTTTCAGTTACATTGTAATATTTGAATGAATACTTTGGCTTTATTTTTCAATAAGCATGTTGTAAAACCAGAGGGGCAAATGCAGGGTGGTTAATGATAATGAAGTATGGAATTGGAAATTACCATATTCTAGATGAAAGCAGAACTCAAATGTGCTTAAATTGCTCAAATCTGGGGAACCAGATAATCATTATCCCAGAACACAGAAAAAACTGATACATAATCCTAAGTCTAGTAGTAAGTATTGTTAAAGAATCTTTCAAATGAGGGTAGTACCATATGGCTGCAAATATAGTGCCCACATTTATGAAAGGAAAAAAATGGTGATTGATGCTCTCTCTAGTCCTTAAGTCAATTGCATGCTAGGCTCTAATAATTATTGTTCCTTCAAAACTTGTTCCAAAGACATAGAAGTGAATAAAAAATGTTAGGCCCATATTGCATTTCATCCCGAAGGTAGAACAGGCCAATCTAACTAGACATCTTTAAAAAGAGAATTTATGTTTTTAGATGAAGGAAATGTGCTGTGTAGGATCAAACACTAGAAATATCATGATCCTATACCTTTCCTAAGTCATAAACCTGAAGAATTTCTTAAGCCTCTTTTGATCTTAAAATATTCTTCCAGTTCTTAATATATTCATCCATTTAAACAGCATAAAAGTATTTTTCCCAGGTCTTTAGGAAGTTAGATATGTTTTTGTATTGCAATTGGTACTCTTTAGAAATTCCAACTAATATGTAGTTTAACTGCAGGAGCCCTAGATTTAGTTTATCCTTTACATTTTCACAAGGCTGAATGTCTGAGAAAGATATTAGGAAGTCACAGAGAAAGGCCAGGTTAATCCCTGTAGCATTCCTCTCCATTTCTATAAGACAGTTTCATTCCTACCTTTTTCTTTATAGTTAGGCAGTTACCACATATTCCTTAATGGTTTATGTTTAAAAGATAAGGCATTTTCATCTAGATTTCTTTTCATACAGATTTTAGTTCTATAATAGGGGTAACCAAGTAATGACACGCCAGCCAGATCTGAATGGCAGTAGCTTTACCATATTTCTTGAATATGAGATGACCCTGACTATAAGATGACCCTCCCCCTTCGCAATAATTAGATTCTATATATGGAAAAATTATCTTTAAAAAAAATAAAATGTCCAGGTATAGAATCTAATTATTAGAAGTTTACCTTGAGTTTGTCCCCCTCCCACTGCTACAATAGAGAAAATAAATCCCCCTCCCACTGCTGCAGTAGAGAAAACAAATTCCACATGCAGGTACTCCCCTCTTCCTTACTGTCAGACCCTGCTCTCCCTGAGCACATAGAAGTGAGGGGCAAATTTGAAAATACTGACCTTGAAATAAACGTATGGGTACCCATAGACTTAATTCATTCAGAATTGATGCATTTTACATTTTCTGAAACTACTACAAGTGTTAGTACAGGTATTCCATAGGCACATCTACATATGTGGCTTACTGCTCAGTAGACTAATTTACTGCTCAGTAAAGCGTCACATCTACAAGTGCACAGCAATTAGGCCAGTTTAAACTAACTTAGTGTGTTGTCGGATAGTCCTGTCAGACACAAGTAGTTTCTGACGGCTCAGTAAATTAATGCATTTATATATGTAGACAATGATGGGGCTGGCTGGGGCATGAGGCTGCTTCAGTGCTGGGCTAGCCAGTAGGCAGCCCCACACTGAAGCACCCTTATGCCACAGCCAGCCACTCCAAAGCTTGTGGAGCCCCATCAGAACAACTGTAGGCTGACGTGCTGTGGAATAGCTGGCTAGGGGCTTTTCCCCATGCTGAAGCACATTTGTGCCCCAGCCAGCCTATCCACAGCACATGGAGCCTGGTCAGAACAGCCCTGGGCTGGCAGGCTGATTCCCTACCCCCTGGGTCCCCTGCTAATTGCTCTGGAGTTTTTTGCTCTTGGTCACATGTTCAAAGGTTCACCTGGGAGCAATAAGTTCCAGAGTTTATTTGTGTGCATTAATTGCACATGTAAATGCACCCCATAAACACACTTTTAAGCAGTACTTTTATACCTACTTATTATATATAGTACAAACTGTGCATCATATTAGTCCAAAGTCAGAAGGCTCATGATTTACCCTATAGCTCATTGGGCTGGACCCCAACAGTCAACAGTGTTTTAGCCATGGTAACCCCACAGCTCAGCATTGCTCAGTATGTGTACCCACAAAAGGACCCATGTGTGAATCAGTGCCCGCACTCATGACTGGAACTGTGTGTTCTTGTCACAAATCCTGGGATCCTCCTAAAGTCTATATGCAGATAAGGCGCAAGGCAGCCTGGTCTGGCTCCACCTCATAGAGGGTGAGACCACACTAATCATATGTTGAGACCTTATTTGATGATGTTTGCTAGACATTTAAGGCTGGTGAAGAAATAGGAATCTTTGAAAACAGGAAATAAAGACACAGCTCAGATGTGGAGTGAAGAGGAAGTAAAAATGCCATATAGTGGCTCACCATGACTTGAAAAAGAGTTGGTGGTGAGGGGGGCTGAGTGCAGTGGGCACTACCATGTGTCTTCTTCCAATGGGCTGCACTAATCTATTCTTATATTAGGTTCCCATCAGCATCTTGGTTTTTTTTGGCTATGATCAAATTTAACATTTTTAGCACCAAAGGGAGGGTGTCATGGCTGGCTCTGGCCCTTCTGGTGCTGACCTCATACTGCAGTGCCTCCAGGACTGGTGCCAGTTTCCTGTGGGGGGGAACACTCACCTGTTTTGGGGGTTTCTTTTAAGGACCAAAAAAAAGGGAAGTTCCCATCAGCATGTTTGCCCAATATGGGCCAGGTATTTTATAATCATGTTTGGTGTTGGCTTCATTTAATCAATTTCATGGTTGTTTTTTGTTACTGAACATAGGCTATTTTTGGCCATGGTGGCTGGGGGGAAAAACGTCATCTTGTATTCAGGTACATACAGTAATTGCTGCAGCTCCTGAAGCCATAGCAATTAACACTGCCCTTGCTTGTCCTGCTGCCCAGTGGGGAACCCTGCAGTCAGATCTAGAGTGCAGAGCTGCATTATCTCAAGAGGGTACAAATCTCGAGAGGGTACAAAGAACGACCACATGTATGGTCAAGGGCATGGAGAGTAAGCCCTATGAGGCAAGACTCAAGGAACTGGGCCTGTTCAGCCTGAGTAAGAGAAGGCTGAGAGGCAACTTGATAGCTGCCTGCAACACAGACAAGTGCAAGGTGATGCACCTGGGGAGGAACAACTGGCACCATACCTACAGGCTGGGGAACTCCCCTCTTGTCAGCACGGAGGTGGAAAAGGATCTTGGAGTCATTATTGACTCCAAGATGAACATGGCTTGGCAGTGTGGGGAGGCGGCTAGGAAGGCCAACTGTACCTTGTCGTGCAGCCACAGATGCACGACAAGCAGGACCAAGGAGGTGATCCTCCCCCTCTATGCGGCACTGGTCAGGCCGCAGCTGGAGTACTGCGTCCAGTTCTGGGAGCCGCACTTTAAGAGGGATGTGGACAGCATCGAGAGGGTCCAGAGGAGGGCCACTCGCATGATCAAGGGACAGCAGGGAAGGTCCTATGAGGAAAGGTTACGGGACCTGAACCTGTTCAGCCTCCAGAAGAGAAGGCTGAGGGGGGATCTTGTGGCCTGCTATAAACTAGTCAGGGGGGATCAACAGGCACTGGGGGAGTCCCTGTTCCCCCAAGTGCCGCCAGGAGTGACCAGGAATAACGGTCACAAGCTGGCGGAGGGAAGGTTTAAGTTGGACATCAGGAGGCGCTACTTCACGGTCAGGGCGGCTAGGGTCTGGAACCAGCTTCCAAGTGAGGTGGTGCAGGCTCCCACCCTGGGGGTTTTTAAGAGGAGGTTAGATGACCATCTTGCTGGGGTCGTTTGACCCCCAGTACTCTTTCCTGCCATGGCAGGGGGTCGGACTAGATGATCTGCCCAGGTCCCTTCCGACCCTAGAAACTATGAAACTATGAAACTATGAAGTACATCAGGGGTGAGTACATCAGGGGTGAGCACCAAGAACCAGAGAGAACCAGGGTAGCAAATCTTCAGGGAGGTACCCCATGGGAGGATGAGAACTAATGGGCATAAACTAACAGAGGGTAAATTCAGGCTAGACATAACAAAAAAACTTTCTCTGTAGTTTCTCATCAGGACCTAGAACACACTCCCAGCTGAGGTGGCCCAGTCACCCTCCTGGGAGGTATTCAAGATGAGGCTGCATAGGCACCTTGTCGAACTTGTCCAAGTCCAATAACTTCCTGCCCACAACAGGGGATCGGACTTGATGATCCTACAGGTCTCTTCTGGTCCAATGGTTCTACAATTCTATCTGGCATGCAGGGCTGCTGATAAAGCTGGAAATGTGGTGATGGGAAGAGTGGCAGCTGTCATGGTTCTAGGAGCCACAGTAAATTGTTGCTGCCAAACTCCAACTTAGCAGGCCAAATAATACAGCTCCATGCTCCAGATCCAACCCACAGACAAGCCCTGTGCTCTGGATCCAGCCTGCAGACTAGTGCCATATCACTCATTCAGCTGATGGGACTAGATGACCTGAGCATTCCTGTTTTGTAGCATTAGCTTTTATGATTAAACTAGTGAGAAGTAAGGTTTTGTTCCATTTATATTGACTACAGTGCCCTGGGATCTGGCCCAGAGAGCCCATGAGGGACACTTCATATAAATGAATTAGAGTTGGATATTTTATAAATGGTAATACTATCACTTAATTTCAGATTGGACTGACATTTGCTATCGTATTTGGAGTCATTATATATAGAATCTCCACTGCAGCAGCCTTAGCCATTAGCTCAACTCCTTCTGGCCGGTCTAACGTTAGAGTAACTGTGACTGCAACTGCAGTAATTATTAATTTGGTGGTGATCATCATCCTGGACGAAGTATATGGCTGCATAGCAAGATGGCTAACTCAGATTGGTAAGTAGAAATCTTTAAGTCATTTTTGTTAGAGCAGTTTTTTATATAGGTATAAAAACTACCTATTTACCTGGAATTGTTGTCTAACTTCAGACAGGTGAGTAAAAGGAGAACATGCAAAATAGTTTTTCTTTAATCACAGATGACAAAGCAGTTCAGGATAAAATAATCTCCACTTTTCAATTATTTGGGCAGTAGCATAACTGAGTGGGGAGAGACTGGGGCAGCAGTCCCCACAACCACCTTTGGGAGTAAGGAAGTGCAAAAATAGCCGCCACCACCACAGGTATGAAGGATCAGAACACCGTAGAAAAAAAATTGTATGGTATTTTCAGGGAAGATCAGGTTCGGAAGACAAGAAATCTTGTCAGATGCAATCTTGTACCAGGTCCAGACTAATTTTATGGACAGAAATGTTTTGGATATTGTCATTGCAAACAAGGTTCCTGAAAATCCCAGGCACAGAATTATCAAACTGGGCCTTTTGACTCGATACAATTTTAAAGTAGAGTCCTCAAATCATTTTTATCCTTTTCAAATTTCCTTAATGAATTCCTTTCACTGATTTTCTTGAATGTGTGTGTAGTTCTGGCCTCAAAAACATGGAAGCTATTCCCATTGACATCATTTAAAGGCAGTCCTCAACTACAGGCACTCCTCAGACTTACAACAATTGGTTCCTGAAAACCACGTCTTAAGTCAAAACATGACTCAGAACCAATTTTCCCATAGGAAACAATGTTATAAATGGGGGATTGGTTCCTGAACCAAGGCCCGATATCCTATTTTCACCAAAAATAACCCAGAATTTTGTACTCAATCAATTATAGATGAGTAATATAGCTACATTAATGTATTTATATTGTAAATAGCAATCATATTGATTTGAAAGGACTTCTTTGAGGAGACTTTGATGGACTTTTTGAAGGGTTCTTGACTGGAGTCTTCTCTGGAGTCTTGGCTGCAGGTTTTTCTGGAGTCTTGTCTGCTTTCTTAAAGAAAGTGTCCAAGGAAGTTTGGACAGATGTTCTCCAGGGAGATGAGTGACGCAGCAAACTTGTTCGCCGGCATGGCTTGGCATCAGATCAAGCGTTGTAGAGTTGAAACTGATGTCAGAAAGTTGAAACAGGGTGTCAATTTATAAAAGTTGTAAGTGTGAAACATTGTAACTCAAAACACTGTAAATCGAGGGCTGCCTGTATTGTACTCTTTTACATTAAAAAGAAATCTTGTAAATATTAATGAGATCAGAAATAAGATCTCTGTGGCTTTTTTTTCATTGGCTTCAGCTGAACCAGGTTTATGAGCCTTTGTGTCAACATATTTCCTTAAAGGATAGTGGATTGCATGACAACACATTTTCTAAAAGTTCAAAAATAATTAGCACTTTATGAATACTTTAGAATACTTCATGACGTGGAAGGTAACTTACCATTTTACATGTGTCTTATTTGCTCCAGAGGTCCCAAAAACTGACAAAAATTTTGAAGAGCGACTGATCTTCAAAGCCTTCCTTCTGAAATTTGTCAATGCTTACACTCCCATTTTCTATGTCGCTTTCTTCAAGGGCCGGTGAGTTATTTAGAAAGTTATTTAAAAATCTCAACAGTTTATTTGAGCTTATTTGCAGCAGTCCAGATTATGGTTGTTTCTGAGTCCACAGCTACCAGTGGAGTTCTACAGACATCCAAAGCTAGTTTATGAACCATAGAATTTATCTATGCCTTACTTCTAACCTTGTTCCATCTAATTGACTTCTTCCTCCCTCTTGTACATGACAGTTGGCCTCAGGTTAGCTAAGGTTTGTTTCTACTTTGGAAGACGTGCCTTAACAGCAGTTTGGTATGTATGTGCAATATTTAGGATGTATAAAGAAGACTCAGTAAAAAATCTTTACCGCCTCAACAAAGTCAGCATTTAAATTTAAAATGAAAAGAAAGTTTCTCCAAACATAACTAAGTAAAATTTTCTTCTATGCATTTTTGTGTGTCATGATAGATTATTAACAATTCCATATATTTGTAATTCTTGTTCAAAAGTTTAGCAATTTCATGTAAAAGACTGCATGCCAAGTGTATCAAGGGGGTAAATAAATAAATTCTTACTAGTGTTTCCAAACTGTCCTAGATTTGTTGGACGTCCTGGAGACTATGTCTACATTTTTCATTCTTTTCGAATGGAAGAGGTAATTGCATTTTGCATGCTGACAGCTAATCAAAAATGACCAGCAAATTCTCAAGCAGGGGGTTTAGCAAAAGGGCTGACTCATTTTCCTTTCTCTGTTTTAGTGTGCCCCTGGCGGTTGCTTAATGGAGTTATGTATTCAGCTAAGCATTATTATGTTGGGCAAACAGCTCATTCAGAACAATCTGTTTGAGATTGGCATCCCGTAAGTAAGACAGTGGTTTTACATTTATTTTGAACCATATGTAAAAGATATATCAAGTCTTCTTGATGCAAATATCTGGTTTATTTCAGTTTGTAGCTTGCATGCAAGAAAATTTTATAGCAAGACCATTCCTGTTCTTTTGTAAATACACTGTATCTTTTATCCTCTATAGCACTTTCAGAGTCCTCATAACAACCAATCCTTTTTTTTTTTTTTTTTTTTTAAACACCCACAGTTCTCTGAAAAGTATTAAAGGATCTGTTCGTTTTCTACTATTTATCGCTGAGTACGTGGATTTAGCTATAGCTGATCCCCATTGTTTCTGTGTTTGCTATTAGCTTGAAGTTTGTATTTACAATTAGCTTTTAAACACTTTTTTTACAAAGCTATGAAAACTAATGATGTAAAGTTTTTTTGTGTCCATTAGCATAAAGTTAGCTGTAACTCCTGAGCCATCCAAATTATAGGCCTCTTAAATGGAAAACAACAAAAAAAACCCACTCAAGTGATCATTTTGTTTCCCTCAGAAAAATGAAGAAATTTATAAGATATGTGAAATCAAAACGTCAGAGTTCTTTAGATCATGAGGAGCACATGAAAAAAAAACAGCGCTATGAAGTGGACCACAACTTGGAGCCTTTTGCTGGACTTACTCCAGAATACATGGAAATGAGTGAGTGAGGTGTAAAGTAATTAAATCTAAACTGCAGTGGGTATAATTAAAAAGGATGGTGAACCATGTTCTTTGATAGGGACATGAGTCATGTTAACCCATTTCATAAAAATGTCCTCCAGAGCAGTAGATTTGATTGAGGCATTGTTGGCTATTATAAGGAGCTAAAATGATTTTCCACATATAACATAGTACCTGTACATATGCACAGAACTGCCTCTCAGCAATCAGCCTGAGAAGCTAAGAAACTTCTCCAAATCAGCTACAGCAGAAGAGAGCTGGATTGTATTTCTTATACCAGGAGTGTCAAACTCATCCCAAACCATGAACCCTGGGCCAGATTCAGACTGCAGGGTTCTTCCTGGGCTCAAATTTGCGAGGCCAGTGACTGCAATAGCAGCAGCAGCGTTGGAGACCTGGGGGATAAAGCAATGATGATGGCAGGAGTCTGGGGGTCGGGCAGTGTTGGGAAGGGCAGAGGAGTGAGCCAAATGGCCTCACGGCAAACAGGGCTTTGTCAGCCAGTGCTCACTTGTCCCCTTACTGCCAGCAGCCATGCCCAACAGCCTGGGACCCTTGAATACTGCTACATGCCACTCCCCGGCCTAGTCACACTCTCAACTTCAGGTAGCCCACTGGTAGTCTGGTAAACTAGATGGAATGGCTCTGTAGGTTGGATCCAGCCCACAGAACATATGTATGACACCTCTGTCCTATACCATATGTTTGTGGTAACAGCTGATGGCCCTGGTATCTATCTCAATATGTGATCTTAGAGTATATCAAGCAAAGTATTTCAAGCAGTGATAGAAAAGCACTGATGTTCTTATTCAAGGGCACTGGCAAAACCATCTGAAATATTATGTACTATTTTGAAAGAAGAATGCAAAGTGGAATACGTGCAAAAAAAAGGCTATGAAGATAATTGTGGGAATGGAGAGTCTTTTTTATGAAGGAGACTAAAAGGACTCATCTTCTTTAGGGTAGTAGAATGAAGGCTGAGATGAGACATGGCTGGTTTCTATAAATGCCTCAGGTGGGTAAATACTGAGGAGAAAGAAGAGCTATTTCATCAAACCAACTGAGGAGATTAAAGTTCTGGAACAGTTTTCCAAGAGAAGATGGAAGAGCAAAAAACTTAAACAGTTTCAAGATAGAACTCGATCAGTCTATGTAATAGAAAGTATGACCTGGTTGCAGGAGATTGCAGGGGTCTGGACTCTGAATCCAAGGGGTCCTTTGCAGTCCTTTGTTCTTTGGACCACTCCACATGTCATGGATCAAATGAAGTATTGTGCACCCCAAGCTGGATCTCAACATGACTGATTTCTGGTTCTGCCATGCCTCCTATTCACAGGGGAGCAGGCTTGGAGCTGGCTCTGCCCATTCTTCATCACCAGAGAATCACACCATGTCAGAAGAATCCTCAGGCTTTCAAGCAACTTTCTGACTACCTTGCCCAGCCCAGGAAGCAGAAATTGTCAGAGCAGGGAATAATTCATTTTTATTCACAGGTGAATTATCAATTAATCAACTCCCATATAGAAATGTATTTGTGATCTGTGAGGAACAGCTCAACCTCCTTGTTGTTTGGGAACATGGAACTCTTTGGGGAATGGCCCTATTATACTGTAACACACCAAAGCACAGTTCATAAATACAAGTCACCACCAATGACATTGTCTCTCTTTTCAGTTATCCAGTTTGGATTTGTAACCTTGTTTGTTGCATCCTTCCCACTGGCCCCTTTGTTTGCATTGTTGAACAACATTATTGAAATACGGCTAGATGCAAAGAAATTTGTCACAGAACTTAGGAGACCAGTTGCAGTTCGAGCAAAAGATATAGGTAAGTGCATTACCAAATAGTTTAATTGTGAGATACTTTAACTCCTCATTTATTTTTCTCTTAACTGATGACAGATTATTTTATGTTGAGCTGGCTTCATTATCAGGAAGGCTTTTATAGAATAGTAGAAAATATTTTAATATAACCCAGCTGTGAATTATCATTTATTTTTAAGATAAGAGATTTTAGATGGAAACAAATATTTTAGTATAAAAGCATTACTTTACAAATCAAGAATGATCAATGCAATGGTAAGATACCCAGTATGACATTCCATATCAATAATTTCTGATAATGCAAGTTTCTTGTGGAAGCAAAAGTTCTACATTAAATATAGTTCCTCAAACTGTGGGCCAGAGAGTAACACAAGGCAAGAAAAGGGGGAGTGAGTGGCTGCTGAAACATTCTCTGAATGTAGCTTTAGCCAGTTCCTTCCTAGCCAGCATGAATACTGGGACACTTAAAATTAGAAAGAGCAGTGCTCCACTGGCTGGAACCATTCCCTATCATTGACCAGTAGCCCCATACTGGTTCTCTTGCCAGAAAAACCTCTGGCATTGCAGAAGAGCTAGGAGCTGGCTTTGCTTTTAAGAATGAATGTATTCATGAAGCTGCTTTCCCTGGCTGCCAGTTAATTAGAGTATCAGAAACATATCAGTAAAAAGCTCATAAATGGAGGTGTTCAGATTATGGTGGCAGTGATTGTGAGCAAAGAATTCTACTGTTAATTATTATCCAGTGTGTTGTCCAGTATTGGGGCATGGCAGGCAGGTGATTTCTGCATGTTCCCCATTGTGCTTAGGTATTAAGGGACAATTGTCATACTTTCTCTTTTTCTTTCTGCCATTACCTCATGTCTTTTTAGTTTGTTTTTTGTGAGTCCCTGGCCCAATTTTACTGGGATACTTTAGGAGAAGTCCGGATGCAGTCGACCACCAAGTATCAGACTGGAATCATCAGACTAGATGTCCTAGCCAACAGAGGTCATGCTCAGTTACTGGCAATGATCAAGGGCTTGAGTTGGCTCTCTTTGTTATGAAATTCATAACAAATTTCCTGTTGGATTAGGGTCAAAATCCCAGGCCTAGTCAATTTGAATTATGCTGTGCGTTCTGAGTAGTATAGAAGCAGTGGTCACCAGAAGCATATAATTCCAGTGCTCCAGAGTGTGCACAGCTTCTCAGTAGTTTTCTGGCATGATAAATTTGCTGATTTTTCACCTATAAAGCCCTAAATGCCTGCCCCTACATACCTAAGGGACTGTGTTTTCCCTTATGCCCCACTGTGATCCCCAACGTCACCCAAGAGCAGCCTCCTGCAAGTACCATTAATGCACCAAGTTTGTTTGGTGAGGACACATGGGAGGTCATTCTTGGCAGTCACCCCTCAGCTTTGAAACTCCCCACCACCATTTGCTCAGCGCTGATGTGCATTTCGTCATTAATACAAATGCACACAACGCAGCACCAGGCTCTTTTAAAAGTGCCTGGCGCTGCGTCGCATGCTTGTGTGCAATGTGCCCAACGGGTTTTTCGCAGACCACGTGCAGCACGCAGAGCTGATTTTGCAGGTATCTTATGGTGATCCCACCCCTCAGCACTGATTATCAGAGAGGCCTGAAGGGAAGGAGGGACAAGGGGGCAGCTGTCATCTTGATGGCTGCATGCCCTTCATGCAGCCCCATCCCTTGGCGCTGATTGGCGGAGAGGCCCCAGGGGGGAGGAGGGATGAGGGGGCAGCTGCCATCTTGTCTGTTGCCCTTCGTGCCACTCCACCAGTCGGCATCTTTCCCTCCTAGCAGTGAGGACTGTTGGCTCCTGCTGGGGAGCCAGCATTTTACTTTAATTAAGTTTTTTGTTGTTTGTGTTGATTTTGTGAACAATCCCAGATTTTGCAGTTTCCGTGAAATCCACAAAACCACAGATTCAGTAGATCCCTATCTATAGGCTATTTTAATACTCCAATGGCTTTTATAAGTTTTGTTTCTCTTCTTTTGTTTTCTTGTTCCCTTGTTTTTTGTTATTTTACTCTTTTCAGTAAGCTGCCTTTATTGGGAAGGAAAGCACATAAATAAATAAATAAGATTGAAAGCAACTTTAAAAATAATTTACTTGGCAAGCAAAGGACTCTCTCAGCCTGGGGAAACCCTTGAGAGATATAGGCTTATATAAAATTTCTGTGTTGTTCTGTGTATCTCTAACTGCTGAGATGGCTCCTTGGGGTCAGATGTAACCAGATATATGCAACAGCAGCCAGCCTGAGAATCTGAGGTTGCAAAGCCAGTTTTGTACATGTTAAGCCCTTAACCAAGCACAGCGCAAGCAGCCTGGGATTTGGCCTTTAGACTGATGGAGAATAAGGCCCCTTGTGTCTGAATTGCTTGCAGTTCTGTGAGAAACATGCATTTGCTTAGTCATAATATGATGCAAGTCACTGCTGAGCTATACTATTACTAACGAAGGCTGAATTCAGAACAAGTGCTGGGAAAGCTAGAGTTGACCTTGCACTTGTTAGGTCTCAGTAAGATTTATCCAAGTCACAGAGAGCCACATCCTCTCTATTAGGTGCCTAAGTGGGATCCTATTCCACCCTGCATAAGTCTCCAAAAAAACATTAAGAGGTTTATTTTTGTAACTCACCATCATTGTACCAGTAAGATTAAGTCACAAAAAACAGTGAGCAGGATGAAGACACATACAGTTTTTTTATTAACTGTGTCTTAAAATCTCAAACAGGGTGGAATGGGCCCACACAAATCCCTTTACATGCCTAATAGGTGGACTAGATGGATCAGGCTCATAGTATTTAGTCCTAAGACAATTGTATATGCAGTAAGTTCACTATGAGCCAGTATATACACCCCCTATAGAATGCCAAAGATGAGTTTAATGAAAAGCCAAAGGAGCTCATATACCAATTCATATCGCAATGGACTTCACTTATCAACACAGAATGTATACAGGACCTTTAGTTGCTTGTGCTAGAGAATTTTTTTAACCTGTCATTAGTAACAGTTAGGGCAGCTAGGATCTGGAACCAACTTCCAAGGGAAGTGGTGCTGGTTCCTACCCTGGGGGTCTTTAAGAAGAGGCTTGACGCCTACCTGACTGGGGTCATTTGAGCCCAGTTTTCCTCCTGCCCAGGCAGGGGGTCGGACTTGAAGATCTACAAGGTCCCTTCCAATCCTACATCTATGATTCTATGAACAGTTAGGCTGTAGTCTGTACCAGTCACAGGGCTGAGCACTGGTAAAATGGATGATCACATATATTAAACCGGTGTGTGCTTTAGACACTGCAAAAATCCCTTTGCTAAATTAGGAAACAGGATGTAGAAAGCAGCCATGAGACTGGATGATCTTTTTTCACCTTTCTCCCAGCAAACTAGTTAGGGGCAGCTATGGAATTAACATACAATCAGTATTATCTTTTTGCATGCCAGACTCCATGCTTCAAAACCATTGGGAGTTTCTGGATATAGTAGGCCACACAGAAGGAGAAAACAGGACAAAAGAAAAAAAAAAAGGAACAGAGGGTGCATCTACACATGCAATTAACACAATGCAATAAACACTGGAGCTGGTTGAGCCAGAGTATATTGCTCCCAGGCACAGCATCTACCCATGCACCTGGGGTAGCAGCAATTTGAGCTAGGGCAGAGCAGTTCTGGGCTAGCAGGGGGCACAGGGGGTCAGTCCCAGGCTCCAGTTGGTGGCACCAGGCAGCACAGGGGCTGGCAGGAGCCAGGGGTCTTTCCCCTGGTTGGCTGGGATGACCAGAAGCAATTTGCACCCAACGGTCATCATCTAGACAGGCGTTTGAGCCCACTTAATGACTCTGCCATAAGTGACTCTGTCCCCAATGATACTATCTTATGGCAGAGTTATTTAGTTTGCTGCACCCTAATACTGGCACACATGTAGAGTGTATCACTTTACTGCAGAGCTAATTAGTTAACTGCAGTAAAGCGCACTGTAGATGCACTGAGACTGGATCCTTTGGAGCTTGGATACTAAGGCCCCTGAAGAAGTAAGAATGCTTTGTGGGCAGCTCTGGCTTTTGGCAGATGCAATAAGGTTTGGTCACTTGATCAATTCTATAAAGGGATTTCTGTGGGAATTCCAGTTCCTCTTGGTGAGTTTTCTCCTTCCCATAGAGAATGATTTGGATCAAATAGATAAGATGTTATCAACTTTCCTTTATGTGCCCAGTCCCACTGCTTTCCATCTTACTATACCCTCACTTCACCTTTCCCCCACAGGAGCTGTTGGCTCAGAACTTTTTTAAATGAGGCACATGTCCCAATATGGATGTTGGAATCAAACTTTAGGCTCTTTTTGCCCCCAACTGTTTGAAATAAGGCTTATTACAAACTGAACTTTTGAAAAAAATGTAAATGCAAGTATAGTTTTCTAGAATCATGAGACTGGTGAGAGATGCTACGTTTTCAATTACCAGTGCTTTCATTAACAGCCTGAAAATGTTTAATACCATGTTTGTCTTTCCCTCAGGAATCTGGTATAATATCCTCAGAGGTATAGGAAAGCTTGCTGTAATAATAAATGTAAGTAGTTCCATGCAAAAAATAGTGGCTGATTCCTCATTCTGTTACATTGGTTTTATTCTAACTTAAACCTAATGAAGTCAGTGGAGTTACCTAATTTAGCAACTATCACAGGGAGAAGAGAATTAAGTCCACCATTTGGTTTGGTTTTGTTACAGTGTATCACATATTGCTTATACATTATAAAAAAAATACAGAATTAAACAAAGGTATAACAGCCAGTAGTAATGCCAAGGATAACAATAAAGAATAAGTTTGACTGCATACTTCTGCCATTCAGACAAATAAAAAAGTACTGCTGATCTTAAATGTCTTTCTTCCTGATTTCTTGACATTTTGAAACTCACTCTCTTTGACCGCTTTTTTTTAATTCTTGTTGTAAAATCAAGTTTTCCTTGTAAGCTTTTTTGGGCCAGATCCTCAAATCATGTAAATCAGTTTAGCTCCATAGAATTCAATTATTGCTAGCTAAGATTGTGGCTCTTAATTTGATTCTGTTTTCATGATGTGAGTTGTTATTTGTCAGGGGTCAGCAACCTACAGCCTATGGCTCTGATCTGGCCTGCAGAGCCATTGCATCCAGCTCATGGACTTGGGGCTTTGGGGATGTGCAGAAGCAGGGGATTTTACCCATTCTGTGCTGCACTGCATTGCAGCCTAGTGCTTCATCCATGTCACAATGCAGCTGGGTGGCACAGAAGTGGTGTCTGGGAGAAGAGGTGGCAGCTATATCATAGCCCCAGCTGGGCTTTGACCTGAGCTGAGTGATTCTGGCCCACCGCTGGAAAATGTTGCCCCCCCGTGGTCTATGATTTGAAGATTCAATACTGCACTACAGAAACCAATGGGAGGGCAAACTCAGGCCCCATAGAAGACACGCAAGGCTAATTTCAGTGTTTTAAGACCGGCATGCTTTGGGTCATTTTGATTCTTCTGAAGATTCTTATACTGAAATCAAAAGAAAAGATTATTTCTCATTTCTGTTCTTAGCCTCCTATATTGTGTGAAATTAGCTTGTCTCACCTTGTAGTCCTCAGAGACCCAGGACAATGTAGGCAGACAGTAGTATCTAAGTTACTGACAAGGCAAACAGTGGATCTAAGGTCAATAAGGGGAGACAACGCTGAACATGTGGATGGGTATACCCCTGGAGCTTCTGTTTTTTTTCAGTCCTGAAGTTGTCATTCCCCCTTAACATAGATTAAAACCTCTGGTTACTGATAGTTGTTATAATTTTTTTCTAATTATATTGAAAAAAATCAAGACTGGGAAAAAATAGGAAAAGGTAAAATTGCACTCGGGTTACTTAACATTTCCATTGTGATACAAAGAGTTTATGTTCTCCCTTTGTTTCAGTCAGATACTACTGATATGCTGGGCCAGTTGAAAGTATTCTGGGGGAGCTCTTGGCAGTGTTAGGGAATTTTTTTTTATTTTATTTTTTTTTTTGGAACCTATTATAGTTGCAAGCCCTCAAACTCAATCTGTGACTTTCTTCCTTTACCTGTCCTATACATGCAAAGGTTAGGGTTGAGATCAGGAAAGGGGCTGAAGTTCAGTAAAGTAAGTGAAGGGTTCCAGAGCAGTACATGCATTTTTGAGAGAAATTGAGAAACAGTGTGGAAAGTGTTTTTCTGTTAAATATGGATGGCAGGGACAGCTGTGAAAATAGTGGGCGATATATTGGTTGCCAAAGTAGTTCAAGTTATTAGACGCCAGCCACCATGAAACTACTCCTATGCAACAGTATAATGCTTAGGAGCTGGATGAGTAAACATTTTGTAGATGCATTGATACAGTTCTCATATCTTGAGAGAACCCTGGGTTGCAGACAGTCTCACCACTGTATTAGCCCCTGCATAACATTCCTTAGACTCATGAGAATTACTTGGGGAAGATGCACTTGGGTCTATTATCAGCATAGCATGACCTCTGAATACTGTGCTCATTCTTTACTCTTATGGCTTAGGCATTTGTGATCTCATTCACATCTGACTTCATTCCACGCCTCGTGTACCTGTATATGTACAGTGAAAATGGCACCATGCATGGCTTCGTGAACCATACGCTATCTTCTTTTAATGTCAGCGATTTTCAAGAAGGAACAGCTCCAAATGATCCTTTGGAGCTTGGCTACGAGGTCCAGATATGCAGGTACTTTCTTGAATGATCACCATTTAAAATGATTTTCCCTGTTGAATAGGAATATGGTTGTGTCGTCTGTACAGACTAGCTGTAGCAGATTGAAATAGTATTTTTTTTGTAATATCCTGTTTGTAGCTCTGTCTTGTTTATGCCATATAGAGTGGAATCTCGGAGCTGCCAAATATTTGCTGTATATGCATTGCTTAGCTTGAGAAACAGAGGTTACAACAAAAACAAGTACTTGTCAGAGCACTTGCAAAGATTTTTCTTTCTGGCTGTGCATATTGTGTGTTAGAGGAGGGGCAACAAAATCTCCATATTGCATAGGAACCCTCTCTCCACTCTTAGGATCAAGTATGTTTGGTAGTTAGAGTTTCCAACAACATTTCTAGGTAATTGATTCTAGTTTTTAACCTCCCTCATACCTACAAAGTTTTTCCTAATAGCCAACCTAAATTTCTCGTTACAATTTAAGAATGTTACTCCTCCTGTCCCCTTTAGTGACAGAGACTAGCCTTTTGTGATAATCTTTATAACCACCCTTCAGAGCTGACAGCTGTATTTGAAAGCTGTTATCAAGTCTCTTCTCAGTCTTCTCATTTCCAGAATAAGTAATTCCAGTTCTTCCAAAATGTGCTTATAATGAAATTTATTTTCATATCTACCCAGTGAAATCTGAATCTAGTCCTCTGTTCTTTCTAAATATGCACAGATTAGAGTTATGCTCTACCACATGGCTTTGAGATAAGTTTTTTGTTCCTAGAAATTAACCTGAGCACAAATAGTTCCCAAACTTGGAGGATGTTGAGACTGTGATCTAAAGTTTGTGGTGTACCCTATCTTTAGTCTAACTTGATGCTGTTTGTAGTGGTGACAAAGCATAATTATCTGAGATCAACAACATATTTCAAAATTATCACAGGTGTGACTTCTTTATCTGGGTTTACATAAAGCAATACTGTACAAAATAATTGTTTTTAGGGAATGTGAAGGAGTGTTTAAGGCATATTTAGTGCTAAATTCTAATTGTGTTAACATTTTAAAGCATTGTGCTTGATTTAACATGTCCTGTTTTACAGATACAAAGATTACCGAGAACCCCCATGGTCTGAAAACAAATATGACATTTCAAAGGATTTTTGGGCTGTGCTAGCAGCAAGATTAGCATTTGTGATAGTTTTCCAGGTATTGTTTGATCTAAAACTTTCTAGACCATAGAAGGAAAAGAGACATCACATGCATGAGTATAACTTTTGTACATAAATGATATAGGTTTCAATAGGATATTACCAGTCAAACTACTTCTAGAGGACTCTGATCCTCACAGACTTGTCATGTATCATACAGAACCTCAGAACTCTTAGTTTTGCTTGTAAAATAATTTTGCAGCTGTCTGAACCACCTTTTGGGATAGGTAGAGACTAGACTTTAGTGGAGAAGTGAGTCACAAGATGAATAGACTAGTTAGTACCCTTTTAACTATCTGAAAAGGATTAAGTGAGACTGAAGTAGAACACAGACTAATAGACTGGTCCTCTGCACAAGGATGATTTTAATTAAAGCCAAAAACAGCTAACCAAAAATGGATTTTTGATCCAGGAAATCAAGATTTCAGAAATAGGATTTCCACTAAGGATTTCAGGATTTCAGAAATAGGATTTCTACTAAGATGGAACAAAATCAAAATGTTGTGATAATTTCCTGTAGAAAAATTCTGACAAAATAAATTTATTCCTTTGACAGGATTGGGCCCCTGGGGCAGCCGTAATGCCCCCTGTTGTTCATGCAACTCCTGCCTTGCTCTGGCTCCTAGGGTACCCCCCTTTTCTCTCACCTGTATTGGAATAATTTGATTATGAAAAGGGAGGCTGCCCCAGGGTCCCAGAGCAAGCCCTTGTCAATTATTGGTCCCTCCTGAACCCAGCAGATCCCCATCCTTCCCCTCAGGTGCTAGATGGGGCCCTCTCGGTCCATACATGCTCTACTGCACCAGTTGGCTTAAGGGCTATTCATGGTTTCTGGGAATTGGCTCCTGCCTCTCCCGTCTGTCTCCAGGCCCCTGGCCCTAGTTTTTACCCCTCTCAGGCTCTGGCTCTAGCCTTTCTGGCTTCAGGCCACCTCTGTTGTCTTTCCTGGCTCAGACTTTAATCTTCATGGTTTCTTCGTGTCAGCATCTTAAGCCCTGACTGCTGGCAGGGCTCAAAACACTCACATGTCCTCAGGCACCCCTTTGGCTCCTAGTCAACCTGTTTAGCCACATCCGGTCTGCCAGTGTAAACTTGAACAAACAAAAAAATTACAAGCAGCCACTTAATTAAACCTCCCGCTCACTCGGGGTTAACCAACTATTTGTTCAGCCATCCTCCCACAGAGCTCTCACCTCCATCTCCAGGGCGTTTCATGTCTGCCTGGGTCTTGCACACACAGCTCCTCCCTGCGAAGAGCTCTCCTCTCTGCAGAGTGCCAGCCTTTCTCTTGCCTTTCCCCAGGTGCTGGCTTTTAAGATTTGCAGTGTGGCCCCTGTTGGATCAAGTGACTCTCTAACCCTGGCACAGCTGTTCCTTTGTAATTCTAATGAACAGCTATGGCTGCTAATCTAGCTGCAATAGCAGGGCTCTTGCCTCTCAAGTGGGCCTCTCAACCTATGGCTGGGGAGCTAGCTCAGAAACAGGCACTTGTAAACAATGGGTCCCAGGTTGCCTATTCCCCTGCAACCAGCCCATGATGGGCAGTTTTTCCCCAACCTGGGGATCGCGCTGCTGCTGCTTCTCCCTTAAAGTAATGGGAGCCCTTGGCTCCCTGTCACAATTCCCACAAAACATTTCAAGTTCATCAGCAGTAAGGGAAGTGAAGGAAAAAGGCCTGTTATTCCCTTGATGTAAGGTGATGGTATGGCTAAGTAGCTGATACATAGAACTTCCCACATTCAACTCAATACCAGGCTTATAGGACAAATAAAGGCCACGTTGAAATAGTGTTCTTTCTGCTTTGTTCCAAAGAAACTACAACAAAAATCCTACCAAAAAATTCTTCATTTCAATTGAATTTGCTCACATTTTTCTCAAAATCTGTTTTTCAGAACTTGGTCATGTTCATGAGTGACTTTGTTGACTGGATTATCCCAGACATTCCCAAGGACATTAGTCAGCAGATTCATAAAGAGAAAGTTCTCATGGTAGAGGTTTTTATGAAAGAAGAGCAGGGGAAAGTACAAATGCTGGAAACCTGGAAAGACAAGGAGAAGAAAAAAGTTGAAAACTGGAACAATCACAGCCCCAGGCTCTCAAGAAGCCACAGTGGGAGTTTGTCCTCTTGCCATTCTTATCATGTGGATGTATAGAAGACGACGCAGCAGCAGCAGCAGCAGTTTGCTATGTTGGGGCATTCCATAGATAAACAAGCCATCACTTAACAGCGAGACTTGATTTATGGACAACCTGGTGCATGTTTAAGTATGTGCAGCCATTTTGCTCCCATCTTTGTGAGAAATTCTTACAAATATGGAGGACCACATTCTATTTCTGATAGGATTTGTTTGCACAATCAGTAATGCAGGGAATTTTATATTTCATATTGATGTTGGTGTGCATTAGTAAAATGCAAGTATTTAGTATGTACTAGTAGAAATGTTCCCTGAGAATTTAAATAATGAAAGGTACATTTCAAGTAATGATGATAATAGCTTAAAATCTTTTTGGCACCCAAAGCCTAAACAATTTGGGAGGTTGCTTTATAAAGGATATGCAGAAATCAATTTTACAGTGTGTTCTAGTTTCCTTCAGCGGGAGGGGAGAAACCATATCAACCTAACAAGACACATTCATTTTCAAAGATGCAGCTCAGCTCCCTGTCAGATAAAATCTGGATTTAAACCTGCAGATCCTAGACAAACAAAACTCCCATTGAGATTACTAGACTATATGACTGAAGCAAGTTCAGGTTTAAAAAAAAAGATGGGTGGGGATTTTCATCTTGAACAGGCAACAACAGAGTTGTTTTCTTTTTTGATCCTGACAGAATGTGTTATATCCTAGCGATCTCCATTGGTGCACAACTACATTTAGAAAAATGAGAATGTGAAATCAGACTAGATGCATTCACTGTCATCCCAATTCTGTGCATCTGTGAGAGCTATTAGTTTTCTAGAAAAGTTCTTCTGATGGGTGAAATGTATGTGCATGCAACTACTTCAGTGCCCAAAGTGTATCATGTACTTGTACACGATGCATTTGGGACACCAAGCCAGTGACAGCTCAGCAGCAGCACAATTTCATAGAACTTTTCAGCAGGTTGAGCACTGTAGGGTATTCTAAAGGGGCCCTGACTTAGTGAGCACATGTAGAGTCACAGTCATTTATACTGCCCCATCTAGCATCTAATATGGGGATATAACTCTCCCTACCAGCTTGGCCACATCCCCTCCTCAGTCAAAGCCACTGGGTTCTTCTCTACAGCAGTCTCCCCTCTGCTATGGTGGAGCGGAGGATGTTGCACTGACTTTATTTAGCTATTGTTTTTCCTTTCTGCTAGTAAGGGCATCTACACCAGAAAAGGCAAGACTAGGCCTTAAATAAATATGACCTGTTGTCTTCAATGGAAGTTTTGCCTTAACTGGGACTACAGGACCAGATTTTCAGTTATAGGACTTTTCTTTTTGTCTTAAAATATATTTTCTTACATATAAGGCATTTCTTTAAAGTAACAGTCTAGAATTGTTACCTGTGAAACATGTATAGACCCTATCAGTGCAACTTTTTTCATGTTAGTCACTTTGAGTTTAAAGGGTCAAGTGATAAACTCAAATTTTCCCCAAAATAATGGTGCAGTTAACCACATGTTTTTAACACTTTGTCTTATCCATGGCACACATATTGCAAATATCAAACTAAAGAATAAAATAAAAACAGAAGTTTCTTTTAACTCTAACTACTGTATGGTTTGTTACAAAACCAAACGTCAAAAAGACTGTTATATTTCAACAACCAAAAAGAATTTTATCTTTTTCTTTTCTTTCTTCTTTGCCAAATTAATTTATAGATTTTAAATAGAACTTTAAAAATGCCACACCTAGTTTTGTAATATTTATTGGTTTTAATATAAAGTATGTAATGAACTTGGTAATTTTTTCTATAGTTTGTCCAAAAAAGGTACCAGACAAGGAATTATGTGGAAGGAAGTGATTAAATTAACCAAGTATTGTGAAAATTAATTTAAAATATTGATCCAACCAAAGATTGTTATTAATAAAGGGCTTATATTTTGTTAATAGCTGTTTCTCTTGTATTTTGACTGCAGGAATGTCAATATTTTTTATTCTAATTAGATATCTTGTATTAAACAAGGCCAAATTCCAGTTGATGTACTCACACAAAGTAAGCACTATAGCTTGTAGAAAGTACTTCCACAAGCAGACCCACTGACTGCAATACAACTACTAGTGTGAATACAAGTGGTGGAATTTTGTCCTTTATAAAAGACAGATTTTTCCCCTTTCATTCATTGATAACTTCACTTATTGATAACCTAAAAATTTGAGAAGAAAATCAACTATTATGAAGAAAAATGTTAGGGAACTTTCTCTATAGAAATTTCAAATGTAAATATTAATCTAAAAATGTTCTTGGCTTAATACTGACATTCCTGTAAATAGTAAGACTATATGCTTAGGTGCATAGTTGTCATAAGTTTTCACTATTTGCTGAAATCATAAAATAGTAAGTAATGCTTATACTTTCTTTTGTACAGTAAATTCTTTCAAATTAGATTTTTGTATATAAATACTGTATTAGTACTTAGATAATTATATAGAAACCCTTTAGTGGAAACCATTTTTTTAAAGAAAAGTAAATGCGTATAATTCCACTTTTTTTGTTGTTGTTTTTTTCTTTTCTTTTCTTTTTCTTTCTTTCTTTTTTGGAACATTTATTTACAATAAATTTAAATATGCAAGAGTTTTTCTCCTGTGGACAGGTTCCATTCCCCATCTACATCATGGCCTGGCATATCTGAGTACTGTTGGATTTAGGAAATATGGAAAATTGTACCATTGTTAGGTTCATTACTCTCTACATTGCTACTTATCCACATAGTCAGCAGTATCAAGGGCTGAGAGGATTTTTCTGCTCTTGTGCATTCAGTTGGTATGGACATAATCTGAAAAGGCTTGTGTAGAAGGTAGTATGCTTTTCTGCCACTGACTATATAGTCAGATTATCGGGTGCTCAGCACCTGAGTCTTTGTTAATATATTTCAAGTTGGATTCCTGGCAAGGATAATGCATCTTGGAATGGCAGATAAAATTTTGTTGAAGAGTAACTAAAGTAATAAAACAAATGTATTCCTTCATATTTTTCATTGATTAATCAACTTAATGTTAAACAGCAGAATAAACAGGAGACCTATGCAGACTGAATTCTTACTGGGGTTCTCAAGACTGTACAACTGAGCAGATCTGGGCCTATGAAATGGAATACAAACTGAATTTTTACATTCTTCTCCTTTTTTGAATGAGGCTTTTGATGGGGCAAATGAGAAATGCTTAAATTCTGTAATGCCACTGAATTTGGCTGGGGCAGAAAATTTCATAAGAACATTTTTTAAGTATGATTTTGAGGGATATTGGATATGAAGATGTGTTCCTTGACTACCCACCCATACATTTTCAATACTTTACTTTTAAAATTGTAAACAATATACAGCAAAAAACTGAGCTGTATTAATATGACCAATCCTACTGAAATCAGTGTATACTGTTTTAAGTTGTAATGCTTACATTGGTTTGCTATCCAAACAAAGGTAAGGTTTTCATTTTGTACAGAAGAGGTTTTTAGAGTTGGCTAACAAACTGTAACAATAATCTACATCAAACACAATGTCCCATTTCATTTTGTCACCAAAACATTGTGGGCTATGATGGGAAAACTTATAAGAAGCAATTAAAGCACTGACTAACTTGTTGTTAGCATGATTGTCCCAGTTCTAAAAGTACTACAGTAGGTAAGAGTTCTTTTAGATATGAAATTTCAGTTACTTATCTGAGGCTAACAAAAGTATTATTTGTATTTCTATTGCAAGTGGAAGCAAGATTTGGTGTTTCACTTTTTAGATACAAGTTTGAGAGAGGATTGTTAATAAGATTCAACAAATAAAACAGTGAGAATTAATTCAGTAAATTAAAGTGGAGAAGAAACAATAGTGTTGACTGAAAAGATCTGAATGTGACAGTGGTCAAGTAGGCAAAGTCCTTGATCCAGTACATAAGGACAGGTAGCAATTACTGTTTACAGCTTTTTTATAGGTGAGTTCTTATGTCCCTCCATTCTGTGATTCCCTTTCAAGCAGCACTCTGCTTCCTGCAGATAATTTAAAATGTTAGCTCCCTAAAAACACCCATTTCTGCAGGAGCAAAAGATTTAAATTTAAAGATGTAGCAACTGAATTTGAGAAACAGAAAATTGTTGACTCCTTTAATAGAAGAGAGAGTTAAGGTATCAGGAGAGGAAAATTGGAGTTGGATATGTCTAGCTGGAGCAATTTAACATTTTGTTAAAATATACTACATGTCTTTTGCTGACCAAAGTTATGGGAAATGGACATAATTTCTGTTTGTGCATTTGGAGCGGAAATCATACACACCCTACTGTGTTGACATTATACAATTAATCTTCTGGATTTCCATGTCATTGTGTTTCTAAGAGACTGCATTACAAATATTTTGCAGTCTTAAATAGCTTGAGGTTGAGTAAGTCTTAAGTAAAGACACAAATGTGCTTCTTTTTTTAACCCTTCAGTGACGTTTAATGTTTAGCTATTAATGATCTTTCTGGCTGTTGCAGGATATTTATAAATAGTAATAAAAGATTTGGCTTTTCCTCCTCTGACCTGAGGGGTTTTGGCAGAATTGATATGTTTTAGATCATTTTAAAACATTTGACTTTTCCTAATGGCATTTTCAAAGTGAAGATCTCTTTTTGTCTTTTACCCTTGAAAAAATTCTGTGTAAATTCAGTCATATGGATTCAACTCAGTCTTCCTCATTTATTTTCACACTTAGATTATTATCTGCCATTTTAGAACAATATTATACAAAGGGAAGAATTATCTTATTCGTTAAAAAATGCTAAGTAGACTCATTAGACTTGAGAGTGTTTATAAAGGGGCATAATTTTTTAAAGGTCTAAGGACAACATGTAAGTAGCTTCATCATTTTTAATATCTCACGAAAATCAAAATCACTCACTTCCATAGGCATCAGGCCTGTTTCACAATGTAACAAATTAGCTTGTTTGCAAATACACTCTCTTTTCCTTCCCCACCCTGCTTGCCATGTAAGAGTAATTCTTAATACTTACTCCATGTTGCTTTCATGGCCAGATTCTCAACTGCAACCAAAATATGCTGAGTACATGAGGTAGGGAAAAGGACTTCTCACTGCCATTCTGTTAACTTCAATGGAATAAAAGTTATTCCCAAAGTGTTATCATGGCCCTAATACTGTACTATATTAGACAGCTGAACTAGGTCCAGGGTCTTCAGTATAGAGACCTCAGCTTGCTTAGTACTATAGCAGATGCACTGTACAATATATGACAGATTTGGGAACATATTGATTAAGGTAAAGAACTGGCGGGGCGGGTTGAGAAAATAAAACAAAATAGCAGGCATTTGAAACTGAAATGGAGGTTATATAGAACAAATGCATAGCTTGTTGAAGTCCATATTTCAGAGATGGTATTGACTGAAGTCTCTTATTTTGTTAAGTGGCCTTCTTAGAGGAAGGAAACGAGCTAGTTCTGTTATTCAACTCTGAGTTATAAATGACAGTCATTTTCCTTTACTTTGTCAAAACAGACACACAGACGAGAAAGAGCTAGGATAGTCAATATAATAATATAGCTTCTTGGTGATGTCCTCAAGATCCAAGGTGACTACTCAGTTACAGTTAGATGTTCTAGGCTGGCAAGTTGTCTACTACAGCTGTTGCTCTGGACCCCAATTCATTTCCCTAAACTGAAATAACATTGGTCTGGCCTAGACAAGTGCCTCTTTTTTATTGACCTCCTCTGGCTGGGCAGAACTGGATAGGCCATTTAGTGGTGTGTAGTACAGGTGATCTTAGAATCATGTGAAAAGCTAACAGAAAAGAGAGGAGGAGGGCATTATTGGATGGAAAATATTACAGGATCTTGCAGGTGTCATGCTGTGTTCCTCATCGATACCACACTAATAGTCAAACATTCCCAGTGGTGAGCTGAGTTATGACTGCTACAATGATACCACTGTCTACAAGGCTCAGGACTGAAGGAAGAGTAAACTAGAGACCTACTAGACTTGCCCAAAGAGAATCTTCTACTTCCTCTTTCCCACACAGTCTCTGTTTAAGGAACCCAAAAGGAAGCCTCTTAATAACTTACCCTTTTATTATTTTTTCCATCAATTAGTCCTAATTTCTGATGCACCAATTTTGGTCCTACTCCCTGTCTCATCTCTGCCAGATGTGACCTCAATGCAGTGTTTGTGTTGTATCTGTAGGCTTTATTCTTTGAACTAATCC